TTGTGTTGCCTATTCATTTATGTCAACTTGACATAAGCTGGAGTCATTTTGGAAGAGGGATGCAGTGTTAATTGAGAAAAGGCTCCATCAGTTTGGTCTGTGCACAAGTCCTTGGGTCATTTCTTTAATTAGTGATTGATGGGGGAGGGCCCAGCCTACTGTGGGTGGTGCCCTCCCTGCAGTGCTGGTCAGGGTGGCTGTAAGAATGCAAGCTGAGCAAGCCCTGGGGTAAAGCCTGGGAGCCCTCTCTGCCATGGCCTCGGCCTCAGCTTCTGCCTCCAGATTCCTGTCTTGTTTGAGTTTCTGCCCTGACCTCCTTTGATGATGGAAATGCAATTGAAATAAACTTTTCTCCCATGTTCTTTATAGTCATGGTGTTTTATCACAGCACAGAAACCCTAAGTGAGACAGAATGCATATGGTTTTCTTTGGAAAATATATTGTAGAATCAAGAAATTAAGTACTGAGGATATAACTCCACGGTAGTGCATTTGACCCTCATGTGAGGCCCTGGGTTCAAACCTCTGTAGTTTAAAATAAGACAAACAACAAGAACAACCAAAAGTAACCAGTATTTCCCAAGTTAAACGATTTCTCTTTTGGCAGGTATACATGCAGCACACTCTTACATAAATGTAAATAAATAAAATAAAAAAGAATTGATTTTTTTTATTATATTGTCAGTTTATTAATAGTTTTTTTTCATAAAGTGAAAATATAAGTAATTTTATTTAGTAATTCTACTGAGCCTCTTAAAGTAAAAACTGGAGTTGTGGGAAAGTTGGTTTCATGGTTGTGCAGAGTAAGGTATGGACAACATCTGGACTCCAGCGTCTCCTCCTACAGATGCTCAGGCTGACTACAGTGTCCACCATCCTCCCCCATTAGTCCTTTTGGGTAGCTGTGAGAGGGCGGGGACTTCAGGGTGAGGGAAGGTGAGGGAATGGAGGGCAAGATGGAGGGAGGAGAGGGGTGGGGAATTGGGGTTTGGGGGGGGGGAGGGGTTTTGGGGGCTTGTTTTGGGGAAGGATGAGGAGTGTGTGGTGGTGGGTTGGGTCTCAATGAGGCTGTATGTGCAGAAGAGGACATGGGAGTGAGGGGAGAGAATGTGGTGGCCTGGCCACAGCTCTGCCATTCCTCAGCAATGTGTATAACAGGGAAATCAATGGCACCCACCTATCCAGGCCACACTGTCACAGTCAGGCCACAAGGGGGCAGCAGAGGTGGAGGAAATGCAGTTGAGACTTCCTGAGTGGCACATATATAATTTACATACACATAATGAAAAAAAACCTGTATACAGGCTTATTTTTATTTTACTTATGAGTATGTATGTATATCTTTGTGATATGCCTGGTGTGTTCAGTTTCCAGCCGAGGCCCCCAGAGAGCACAGGGTCCCCAATGAGGGTGACATACAAAGAAGTTGAGTGTGGTGGTATTGTGTTCCCCAAAATACTGTGCACCCTAATAAACTTATCTGGGGTCAGAGAACAGACAGAGGCTAGAAAATAGTAGCACTCATGCCTTTAATTCTAGCATTCCAAAGGGAGAAATCCATCTGTGATCTCTGTGAGTTCAAGGCCACATTGGAAAGAGCCAGGCATGGTGACACACACCTTTAATTCCAGGGAGTGATGGTAGAAAGCAGAAAGGTATATAAGGTGTGAGGACCAGGAACTAGAAGCTTTCGGCTGGTTAAGCTTTCAGGCTTCTAGCAGCAGTTCAGCTCAGACCAATTCTGGATGGGGACTCAGAGGCCTCCAGTCTGAGGAAATAGGATCAGCTGAGGATCCGGCGAGGTGAGGAAGCTGTGGCTTGTTCTGTCTCTCTGATCTTCCAGTGTTCACCCCAATACCTGGCCCTGGGTTTGATTTTATTAATAAGAATTGTTAAGATTCCTGCTACAGTTGAGAGTCAGGCTCTTAAGTAGAAGTTCTAATGTAGCCACAACTCCCTTCACCCCCAATTAGTGGAGCACTGTCCACACCGATTTCCCACTTGGGTGATCCTCCATTGAGTTTAGATGGCTTTAGGGGTAGCTCTAACTGCTGACAGGGTTTGTCTCTGTATCCGATTGACCTGGGTAGGGACCTATCGATCGCTACCTCTCCAAATATCACAGTCTAACACCAAACAAACAAAAAACAAAAAACAAAAAACAAAAACCATGGGAATGAAAGAGATGGTGTTTAGAATAAAGTGCCTGTGAGCATGTGCCTGGGGATTTGTCTGTGATCTCCTTCTGGGGGGCTCTGTGGTAGGAGAGGCCCAGGCTGTCCAGCATGCCAGGATGGTCAGAAAATCCCTCCCTGGCTGCACAGTGCCTTAAACTCACTGTAGCTATGGTGACCTGAATTCACCTCTTCATCCTTCTGTGTCCTCACCTGAGTCCTGGGGATTAGAGCTACAGCACACCCGGCCTTTGCTCTGGGCTTCAGCTGCAGCAGTTCCTGCACTTGAGGGCTCTGAGATCTCGGCTTCCAGCAGGAGAGTGATTGGCAGAAGCAGCAGGGAACATGCTGGTGTTAAACCCTGAGATGGACTCTGGGCGTTTGGCTCCTCAGCTCCAACCACTGTGAGTGTCACAGTGTCACACACGGCAGGTGTTGCAGCTCTCGGACTAGAGTGCCAGGACCCCTGACTGTTTAGAAAGATTTATTTTGTTTTTAATTACGTGTATATGTGTGTGCCTATGTGTGTGTATGTGCATGTGTGAGTGCAGGTGCACATGGAGGCCAAAAGAGGGCGCCAGATGCCCTGGAGCTGAGCTGTGGTCATTTACAGAGTTTGGGGTCCTCTACAAGAGCAGTGGGTCTCTTAACCTCTGAACTGTGTCTCCAGACCCTGCAGCCTGGACTCTTGAAGCTTGTGGCTCCCAGATCTCATCTGGTGACTGGGGTCTGCAGTTTCTCCTTGTTGGCTCTCAAGTCCGTCTGTCTGTCTTCTGCCCCAGCTTTCTGTCCACTCTCACTGCCCCTCTACTCCAGCTGCCCCTCAGTGTCTCTGCCCCTGTGGTTTCTGCTCAGGCCTCTCCTTAGTTTCCCCTGTCCCTTCTCTGCTGTTGGTGTTCCTGCCACCACACCAAGGCCGTCCTTGCCACAGCCGCCTCACTGCTGTTTCCACTGTCTCCTCTTCCTGTCACAAAGGACAGAGTGGAAAGAGTCCAGAAGGGCCACTTGAGAGAAGTCTTTTACCTCCCAATTCAAAAATTATTTATGGGGCTGGAGCTATGGCTCAGTGGTTAGAGTTCCTGCTGCTCTTGCAGAGGAGCAGGATTCACCTCTTAGCACCCACAGAGCTGCTCAGGTTTTCAGTTTCTGATTCTGCGGCGTCCGGGTCACAGGAGGCACACATGCATGAACACAAGAAAATGTACATACACACAGAATGAAAACAAACATTCAAAACATTCTTTATCTAATAGTGTGTGTGTGTGTGTGTGTGTGTGTGTGTGCGCGCGCGCGCGCGCGTGCATGGGTGTGA